GAGGGTGTAAATCTTTACGGGAGTAGAAAGCCTCATCTTTCTCCCGTGGAGCGGCTGGTAGTTTCTAACTGCTGACCTTAAGGTTCGCAGCCCAATTCGTAACCAGTACGCTACCAGAGCTACCTTGATAGTTTACATGGGAGAACATTAGTTTTACATTCATTCTATCGTAAATTGTTTTATTGCCATGTTTACAATCCCCTCCATGCATCATCAGCCAACCAAAGGGTATTGTGGGAGTCCAGCTTTCCACGGGAGTCGTGAGACACGAGAGGAGACACAGAATCGGCGAAAATGAAAGCAATTGAAAGGCTGTCTTTCTCTGTTAGCTTGTTGTTCCGTTGCTGTGCTGTCCGGCCTGTTCTGTCCCTTCTTATGGCCCGGCTCAGCAAGTCTTTATTTTTATACTTAAAACTACACAGTGTATAATGAATTGACACTTTGATCTTTTCTTGAATTATTACACAGTTAATCACAACATTCTTGTCACCTGGTCATTAGACAACTTTGACAAAAATATTTCTGTGATGATCAAACTGACTTTCATCTCCTTTCCCAGTATGTGATAAATTGTTTCCACTAAAAGATTAAGTCAAACCTTACACAAATCATTTCTATTTATCAGACTACTTATTACATTTTCTTAGTAACTTAAGTTTCTATTAATCATCAGTGCTTGCACTACCTTATTATTTCCACTGATTATCAATCTTCCATCCTACATAGTGTACTATTATTTTCATAAAAAGTATTTCTAACATCTACTTATTTATTTTTTAAAGTATTCACTAAATTGCTTGGAAGCTATGTGGCATAAAGCCCAACCTGGTTAATTGCTGCAGGAAATGTAGATTATCAAGTTAAAACTACACTTCACTTAAGTTCATTATTTTCTGCTTATTTACACACAGGTGCTTATATGTAGGGGTTTGTGAATTCTGGCTGGTGACTTATTGTGGTGAGGTCTATAGGGGTAGGTCAGCTTAACTTTAATTTGTTATCTGCTTTGTGGTCTCACAAATGCAGTTACTTTGTACTTAGGATTTCTGTGAAAGGGAGTAATTTATATAATTCTCTTTGAATTCAGGCTACTGAAGTCAAGATAATTGTCTCTTCCCAAGGTTTGTAGAGCTCACAGTAAAAAGCTGTGAATAAGGCAATATTATATATTTTTACAAATGAATTCAGAGTTAACTTGAAGGGAAGATAGGGACCAGCTTTTTGAGAGTCATTTGCTGTGCAAAATGTCTCTACCCCCACTGCGACCTGACCTGTGTCATATAGCCTGCCCCCTACAATGCCCCCCCCACCCCCACCCTCTGGTCTTCAGCACACAGTTGCTCTCCCTCTCTGGATCTAAAGTCTCCAGCTGCTCCATCGCTCCACATCATCATCTCTGCCTCCATCTCAGACATCACTGCTTCTCTGGGTTGGGTCCCACTCTCGGCTCTTCTCCGTTGATGGTCCTAGGGACCTCCGCTCCTAGACAAGAAAGTTAATCACTCCCTTCCTTGCTATAAAATGTCTACCTTTATATTTCCAACCTTCACAATCAGTCCTGATAACAATTTTTCACTATTGTATCACAAGAGACCTATCTGCATTTCATTTCATCAGCTCCGCCTAGACAGATTGGATACTACTCACTGGAGATTCTGCCTTCCTCCAGGCCCCCTGGCTCTATGTTCCCTCTTGAAAACTTATAAGCCAGTCACTTCTTGCCTTTGTAGCCCCTTTCCCCACCTCCCCCCCATTTTGAATAGCCATTGTCCAAGTTGCCCATCCCTGTCTACTCTGTGTGTGGAGGTTGTGGGAATGATTCTTGCTGTAAGAATTTGTTCCCTCTTTTGAGCTACTGCATCCATAGGTGTAGGCCAAGTTCATCAAATTGTGTCATATTACTCTTTTTTTCCTCTTCTTTCTTCTTCTGGTTGAGCTCTGATCATCCAGTCATTGAAGCCAGGTCAAGTGGGTATTATCTGTAAGTGTGGGTGTTCTTGTGCATATGCCCTTTCATTTTATCAGCTGCATGCTTCGCTCGCCACATTGTTGGGCTTAGCTCGCCACTTTGTTGCTGTTTTTCCCTCATTTCACTTTATTGGTGAGGAGCGTGTATTCCCATTGAGTCTTATTCTTGGAAGGGGGTTTGCACTGAGGGGACCTGACCACTTGCTGTGATGTTTGCTGGGCCAACCAGTAGCTTTTAAAATTCCCTTCTTGAAAGTTACTTTTTGAATTTGATATCCTTGCCTACTTGGACATTGACAGCTATTATCTGAATAGTTTCTTTATAATCTTCCTCTCTCTTGACCTAAGAAAACAATTACAGTGAGTGACAACATGGCATAGATGTGATTTCTTCTTTAAAATGAAGGAAACAATGATTCTTCCTTCTCAAATTTTGAGGATTAAACTAAATACGTGAAGAATGTGCATAATAAGCACTCATGTTACTTGTCATCTGCCTCTTCATCGTCATTGAACAGAACTGTGTTCAGAAACATATGCACAGAGGATAAATACCTTCCAAACCATACTAACACAGAGGGAGTATAATATACTTAACACTTGCCAGAGATGGGCATCTTGCTACCTTGCTCCCCACCTACATATCCACACACTCAAAGAGCAATATCCATTCCTATATTGAAAGGATGGAGTTATATCCATACAAAGAGAGGGTCTCATACCACAACTTGTATATTCTAATATCCAAACAGAAAATTAGAATATGAACGGACACATATAACACAGTGAGGAAACCTGGAGAGATAATAGTTACAGGAATTTATGTATGAACTAGATAGGAAATCTGGATCCATTTTAAGCTGCACAATACCTGAGGTATATGAGGAAGCTTATTTTAGGAAATAGTACTCCCCTTGAATGGGAATATTTTAAATAAAATTATTTACTTATTAAATGCTTCTTCCATATTAAATTCACTGACACAGTCATCTCCCTCTGAGCATTATTGTTGTTAGTTCCATTGGTCAGTTCTTACTTAGTGACCCTGTGTACAACAGAATGAAACATTGCCTGGCTCTGCACCATCCTCACAGTCAGTGCTGTGTTTGATCTTGTTGTTGCCTCTGTGTCATCCCATCTCACTGAGGGTCTTCCTGTTTTACACTGACCATATGAGCAGTATTGTTGTTATTAAGTGCTGTCAAGTCAGTTCTGACCCATAGGGACGCGTTATAGGGTTTCCAAGGAGCAGCTGGTGACCTTGAACCACCGACCTGCAGTTCAAACCGACTTTGTAGTCTAGCATGTTAACCCACAGTGCCACAACAGGAATCCATATGAGCATGTTGTTGTTGTTAAGTGCCGTCGAGTCAGTTCCGACCCAGAGTGACCCTGTACAGGGTTTCCGAGGCTGTAAATTTTTACAGGAGCAGAAAGCCTCATCTTTCTCTTGTAGAGCAGCTGGTAGTTTCGAACTGCTGACCTTAAGGTTCGCAGCCCGATTGGTAACCACTACACTAATATGAGCGTAGTCATCAGAAAATACAAAGGAAATTTTCTTTCTCCTTCTAAATCATATTCTTCCTAATGTGCATATGCATATCCATGTTGATTTTAAGTTAGTTTAGACTTCTAGGAAAATATACAGTTCTAAAACACATAATCAATTTCCTTGAGTAGGGTCTGTTTGAGTATGGTGGTTGGAATTAGTATATCTTGGTGCCAAATATAAAAATTTGCTTTTCTTTATTTCCTCAGCAAATGGGAAATCAAGCGTTGTCAATGTTGTGGTTCTAGTGGAACACATTTAGCCTGTTCATCACTGCGATCATGGGAACAAAATTGGGAGTGTTTGGAATGTAGAGGCATTCTCTACAATTCAGGTAATAGAGTAAGAATTTTTTACTCAAACACATATTTTTAAATTTTTTCTGCCTTTATTTCTGTTATGCTAACATTAGGATTTAAATCTGCAGATTTCCAAAAAGCCAAAAAACATGCTCTACCCAAATCAAATAGCATTGGCATTAATGATTGTTTATTGGAAGAGACATCACCTAAATTACTCAGACAATCAAATGGAGCTCAAAGTAAAGATCTGCTGAGGTATGTATATGCATTGGGGGCAGGGGAAATATCAAAATCTCTTTAGAGAAAACTTCTGCACAAAATTATTCACAGTATTATGTGATCATTCAGTAGTCTGGAATAGTGCTTTTCAAACTTTGTTGTTGTTAAGTGCTGTTCATTTGGTTCCAATGCATAGCAACCCTGTTGAGTTTGAACTGCCGACCTTGTGGTTAGCAGCCCAAGACCCAACGATTGATTATGAAATTAGTTCAGTCCGCTTTCAAATAAAGGAAAGTAAACGAAATATAGATTGTAGCACACATAAAAAGAATGTATATTAAAGGTGTATGTTGTTGTAAAGTGCCATTCAGTCAGTTCTAAATCATAGTGACCCTATAAAGGGTTTCCGAGGAGTGGCTGGTGAGTTTGAACCACCTACCTTGCAGTTCAAAACAACCTTGCGGTCCAGTGGTTTATCCTACCCTGCCACACCAGGACTTCTAAATGTGTCTGTAGAAGGTGGAATTTGTGTTGATCATTTTATTGTGTACTAAGATTGATATAAAATAGATTTTTATACTATAGACCATTTTCAGGAGACTTTAAAAATCACTTATCTGAAAAGTACATTTAAGGTGTTATAGAGTAAGATAAGAAGTTAAAATATTCACTATCACTTTGTTTAAAGGAAGAAATTACATTTTTAAAAGATGGTTTATTTCTTGATATTGTAGTTATTTGTTTAATATATTTATTTCAGTGCCACAGGTCTAAGTGTGGGCTCTTTCCTTTAGAAAAATTTTAAGCAGTATTTATAAGTTGTTGTTAAATACCATTGAGTTAGTTCTAACTCATAGAGACCCTGTGTAGGGTTTCTTAGACTTTAAATCTTCACAGGAACAGAAAGCCTCATCTTTCTCCCAAGGAGTGGCTGACAGACTCAGACTGTGGACCTTGTGGTCCACAGTCCAGTGCTTATTTTATGGAGCCACTGTATTGCCACACTAATTTCTAACTATTTCCAGAAAATAGCAAAATAACTCATGTTTGAAATCATCCCTCATTAAACATTTAAATAAGACTAGAATTACATCTTTGTACTGTGTCTGGTATTTATTAAAGTGAAGTTATAATTTTTTTAAGTATAGTCACTTTGCAAAAGATTTTCTAGAAGCTTGGTTTTCGCCTAATAGGGATAAAAAGAATAAAAGTAAAATTCATATCTGAACCATGGTTAAGTATTTTCTTATTAAAAATAGTATGAAGTTCAAAGACTTAGAAAAAGGAAAAGTAAACTTTTTGGTAAAAATATGTGATAAATGGATTCCCAGAGAGAGGTGGAAATAACTTAAGTATTCAGTGTTTCAAAGATGTGATGTAATACTGGGGAAGCTTGTCTTCTTGATCCAACTTTAAAAACATTAACATGGCGTCATATTCTAGAAGAGTAGCATCAGAGTTCTTAGTGATCTAGGCAATTGGAAGGAATCCACGTGCTAGATGAAAGTATATTTCTGAAATACTATTTTACTTCTAAAGTACTTTTGTTTTTTCTTAAGTCTGGACTGATTAATTAGTAGGGGATTATGGGGAGAAAGAAAAGGTAAAACCTGACTCATACCAGGGAATTGTATGTCTTAGGGTGGAACAGATTTATACCTAATGTAGAAAAATTCCAATTACAGATGGAGAAACTGAGACGGAGAAATTGAGTTAGTCCATACAGTTATTTGGAGGTCTTATAACAGATTGCTGAGCCTCCTGTTCAGAGGTTCTGGTTCTGAAAATATGCACTATGACTCAAGAATTTGCATCAGTAACAAGTTCCCTGATGATGTTACTGCTACTGTTTTTCGTTTGGGGACCACTCTATGAATTACTGACTTAAAGTGAAAAATACTCTTTATAATAAAGTATCTTTAATTATAAGAAATTGTTAATCCTGCCTATAATATTGACTCTACTTCTAATTAACTTTATGAGTAAAATATATTGAGTTACTTATAAAAAACATATATTGTACATAGTAAGCAAAGATTATAAATACTGCATTTTTAAAAGATTTATTGAACCTAATAATAAGATTCAGTTAAGCAATTTTACTATGGCCATTGGCTGGAAAGGTAAAATAGTTTGATCTTCTGACTCTTAAACCCAAATCTGCTGAATTGATCAAATTTTACATAAAATTCATAAATACTTTTGACATTAACCAAAAGCTAAACCTATTGCCATTGAGTCAATTTCTACTCATAGCAACCCTATAGAACAGGGTAGAACTACCCCATAGGATCTCCAAGGCTGAAATCTTTATAGAAGCACACTGCCACAGCTTTCTCTCATGGAATGGCTGGTGTAGCCAAACCACCAACCTTTTTTGATTAGCAGCCAAATACTTAACCATTGTGTTATCAGGGCTTCTCATTAATGACATTTTGTGATTATAATTTAATAGAAGACTGGGGAGAGGGAATGAAGAATTTACAACTAAGATTATCAAGTAATTTTTTGGTTCCAGTGGCAGCCATTGTTCTGCCTTTGGTGGGAGTCCGGGAAGAACTTCCTTTTAATCTATTTTCCTTTTTTATTATTGGCTGTATACTACTGTTTCACATAAAGTACTTTAGAGTACTTACCTGTATGTTTAAATTCATGTTTTATAGGCAAGGCATCAAATTTAGAAGAGATCTTTCAGCAGTTTTAATAGAGCTAGGCTTCCAAATTAAAAAAAAAACTAAAAAATTATATATCAACAAAGCCAATATCTGGAATAGTGCCTTAGATGGATTCAAAAATCAGAACTTTAATCCTTCATATACAATTGAAGTAGCGTATGTTAATGAAAGTGATAATTTTGGAAGAGAGCATCCTGGATCAAAGCACGAATTTCTAAGTCTCTTAATGCAGCATCTTGAGAACTCATCATTGTTTGAAGGGTCCTTGTCAAAGAACTTATCTCTTAATTCTCAAGGTAATTATTTCATTTACTATTGTACTTACTGAATATGGCTTGTATAAAGAAGGAAATGCCTGGTTAGAATTAATATTCTGTTCCTTTGGTCTAAATATCCAATCCACTTTATTACTAAAATACTGATAGTCACGGAAAAGGGGCAGGTGGGGGAGGGTGGGAGGGGAACAGAAAATTTTTGTAATAAAGTAAACTTTGTTGTGAAACATTAGTTTTAGAATATTCAGAATTTCTTTATACAATATCCTTCTTAAAATATTTCCATAATCAAATGTAATTTTATTTTAAAGTAATGTATATTCACGCTCTTAATTTCATTTGAATAGAGTGACAAAACGGGATAGAAACTAATTTGAATTCTTCTTGGTCATATATTTGAAATTTGCAGTTGGCATGTTACTTCACAATACAGGATTTTGATAACATAATGTTCCAGTTCACACATGACAGCTTTTTCAATGTGCTTACCTTTTAAATTTTTTCTCTATGCAATTAATTATATGGTATATTTCTATTTTTATTAATAGTGAGGTTGTATGTAATTAAAACAGGTATCTCAAAACAATGGGTAATTCTAGCATTCTTTTCTAGTAGTTTTATATATCACCTTTGTTGCAATAGGAAATTCATTCCATTTTGAAATTCCTTCTGTATGCTACCTAGAACCTCCTCATCATTCATTCCTTAAAGCATCACTGAAATAACTGAAAATTTTTCAAGGATTATTTATACTATATACAATATATACTATTTAATTCTAAACTGTTTTGGAAAGCCCTCCTCGTAATATTGTTAAGGCAGCTTTGATACAGTGACTTTAAGTTGCAAAACCTGAATCCAAGTTTGTACACATTTAGGTCAATAGCTTTCTGTACTTAAATTGAGCACTAGCCTCTCTGAATCTCAGTTTCTTCATCTGTAAAATGTGACAACTAATATGTTGCTAATTCGATTATTGTTAATGTTACTGATATTCAGTAATTGCTTTTGATTAATTATTAGAAAAAATAAATATATTTTAGCCTATTGAAGTTGCTAAAGTAATTAATTGACAATTTAAGCATTTAAAGCTGTGAGGGTGTGCTAAGATAGTAAGTTTGTACCAATTTGGAAGATAATATTTAGTAATATGTGCCATCAACCATAAAAATGATCATTTACTTTGACCCACTATTGCCGTATGTTGTTGTTAAGTCCCTGGTTTCTGAGGCTTTTAAATCTTTTGTGGGACCAGAAAGCCTAATCCTTCTCTTGTATTACCATAAATAAGAACTAATAATAAAATATGAAGGGACATCAAAAAGTTATCTTTCAATTCCATTTTTCACAAGCTTTTTGAAGCCTCCTCACGTAGTAGTAGATAGACACAAGCATACGTAAATAGATATTGATTGTAGCATGTGTTGCATAGGTAAACATGTTGCTAAACCAGGAAGCCCAACAATAGGGAAATGAGTTAGTCCTAATGCATTTGTTAATTGTGAACTTGAGCACTTTTGAATAATTTAAGAAAAGCTTAAATACGTAGTACATAGAAAAAAAGCTGAATAAATTTATGTGTATGTATACAGACATAGATAAAAATAAACCGAAGTGTTGTACAATGGTTATAAAAGTGATAGGATTATAGGTGATGTTTTAAAGGTGTTTTATATTTATACTTTTTCAATGATAGGATATTAATTTATGTTTATAAAAATACGTTATTTTGTATATTTTAGGAGCGATTATATTTCGTGCATGGTAATGGCTTCTGAGAATTAAGTTATTTTGTACTATCTAATACTTTTAAAATGTATTATATATTTATTTAAAATGATCTCTTATAATAAATGGTTTTTGGCATATTTCTGTTCATATTTGCAGCTCTGAAAGAGAATCTTTACTATGAAGTTGGCAAAATGCTTGCAATTTCTTTGGTTCATGGTGGTCCTTCACCTGGTTTCTTTTCTAAAACCCTATTTAACTGCCTTGTTTATGGACCAGAGAATACCCAACCGATTTTAGATGATGTTTCAGACTATGATGTTGCACAAATTATAATCAGGGTAAGAAATGTGTATTTTTATTAAAATGTAAATTGTATTTTCGGTATATCTGAAAATAAATAACTGGTCTGTAAATAGTAGGAATTTTTAGGGGTTGTCATATAATATTTCTGTTTAATACAACAGAATTTAGAACTAGTTATGAGATAGATGTAAAAGTCAGACAGGTAAAGATTCAATTAAAAGGTGTATGTTGATAAAATAATTTAGTGTGACTTTATTCTATGTGTAAAAAGCCTAGGTAACTGTCCCCAGAATTTTAGAAAAAGCAAACAGCTCAATGCCATAGAGTTGATTCAGACTCATAGCGATTCTACAGTGCAAAGTAGAACTGCTCCTTTAGGTTTCTAAGACTAACTCTTTACAAGAGCAGACAGCCTCATCTTTCTCCTATGGAGCAGCTGGTGGATTTGAACTTCAAACCATGTGGTTAGTAGTCTAGTGTTTAATCCACAGCACCACCAAGGCTTTTTCTGCCAGAACTAGCAGAACGTGATGGATAAGACTGGACTACAAACCAGAAGGTCGGCAGTTCAAGCCCATTCGCCACTCTGCAGGAGAAAGATGGAGGTTTTCTGCTTCTACAAAAATTTACAGCCTCAGAAACCCTATACAGGATCGCTACAAGTTGTAACTGACTCGACAGAGCTTGACAGCAACAGTAACATATGGACTTTGTTAGAGACAATGTGAGGTAGATTCTTTATTGCATGCTAGAGAGCAAATGAACGGGAACGTCCTTGCAGACATGGATCTGAAGAGATCCATGTTTGATATTTAGTTCATCAACCAGGTAAAATGTGTCCTCCTACAGGGAGGAATGAGTGAGGGATGGTGAGAAAGACTGAGCTGAAGTACTTCCATAATGGAAATTAAATGGGGTAATTCAGTGTTTCCACCTAAAAATAATTACCATTTACTGAATAATTGTAACAGACCTTGTATATAACACGTTAAATGTACAAATTAATTTAATTATAATACACTATAAAATATGTTGTTGTTAGGAGCTGTTGAGTCAGTTCCAACTCATAAGGACCTTATGCACAACAGAATGAAACCCTCCCCTGTCTTGCACCATCTCACAACTGTTGTTATGTTTGAGTCCATTGTTGCTGCCTTTGTGTCAGTCTGTCTCACTGGGGAGCTTCCTCTATTTTGCTGAGCCTTCACTTTGCCAAACACAGTGTCCTTCTCCAGGAACCAGTCCCTCCTGACCACATGTCCAAAATACAAGAGATGAAGTCTTAATATCCTCACGTCTAAGGAACACTGTGGCTGTACAAAGCTGTGGTACTTATTAAAGTTGACATTCAACTAAAGTCTGACTTCTGAGCCTATACTTTTAACCATTAAACTGTACTGCATAGTTAAGACAATGGATTCATTTAACTTTTCCTCCCTTAACCTCCCTTCTATTTAAACATATTCTATCCTCTGCTTTTTTTTTCCCATTTCAAATAACAGTCTTCCATCCATTCCTAGAAAATCTCCTGTGTTTTTATTTGGAACTCATTGTTATCCAGTCTTCTTTAATACCAAATGTATCTGTTGCACCACTTTTTCTTATATCTGTAGTTGCTTGGTTTAAGAGCACAAGTTAAAAAGTCAGGCTGCTGCCCGTGTATGACCATGAACAAGTTAATTGATCCTCAGTTTCATTGTCTGTAAAATCAGAGCATTTGATGATGGTACTTCCTTTGTAGAATTGTTTTAAGGTGGAATTGTTTACTATATGTGAAGAACTAAGAATAGTACTTGACACTAAGTAATCACTTATTAAGTGTGAGTTGTTATAATAATTCAATATACATGGCCCAAGACTCCTCATCATAAAAACATCTTTTAAATTGACTCTTCAACCTATCATTTCCTCTTCTCCTTTAAACCAAGATCTAGTGTAATTTAACTTCCTGTCTGCACGTCCTATTTCTTATTCATTTCTTAACTTCTTGTATTCAGACTTCTGTTTTGACCTCAGGTCTTCCAACTTAGTTATTTCATTGCTTATATCCATTATTCTACGTTACCACATTCAAAGACCTTCCTTTTCTAACACTTCATTTTCTCTAACTTCTGTAGTTCTCACTTAGAATGCCATTATACTGGTTGCCTTTAAAGTAGTCTCTTCTGCTTTTAATGTCTTCCATCTTCAGTGTTTCTTCCTACTCTTGAAATACAGGACTTTTCAATGTTGTCTTAACAGTCCTCATTCTATATTCCTTGGAAAGCCTCTTTTCGTCCATAATTTTTCTGAATGATCCTCAGTGCTGTATATGTTAACTATATTTTTATATCCAAGCAAGATCTGGTTCTTGATTCTTAATAGCAACTTGAACCCAATATATTTAAAGTGGAACTAATTTTCTCTCCCAGAATTTCTTTTTGCCTAATTTTCCTTTTCCAGAGATTTTTTTTTTTTTTATTCCTGGAGAAGGGGTCATCCTGGGGAAGGTGCCATTTTCAGCCTTCTTTTTTGTTTGTTTTGTTTTTTTTAAAAAAACAAAACAAAACAAAACTTTTCATTGTGAGTTGAGTGAAAGTTTTCAGACAAGATCAGCAGCTTTGCTTTCAACAAATCATACACTTTATTTCATATCAGTGATTACGAACCTGTCCATGTGTTACAGACCACCAACCTTTTGGGTTAAACTGTTAAGTGTTGATGAGTAGTTTCCAACTCATAGTGACCCTACATAGGGTTTCTGAGGAGTGGTTGCTAAGCTTGACCTGTGACCTTTTGGTCCAGCATCCTGTCCCTGTAGTGCCACGCTGCACTAGTGTTAATAGCAAAGTTAACAAAACAAAACAACAGAAAACAACAAATGCTGGTGAAGGTGTGGAGAGACTGGGACCTTCCTACATTGCTGATGGGACTATAAAATGGTTCAACCACTCCTGGAAATGGTATAGGCACTTCCTCAGAAAATAAAAATATCTTACGGCCTAGCAAGTCCTCTACTTGGTATATATCTACAGGAAATAAGAGCAAGGACATGAGAAGATACATGCACACAGATGTTCATCACAGCACTATTCACAAGAGCAAAAAATATGGAAACAACCTAAATACCCATCAATGGAAGAATGCATAAACACACTTTGATACATACACACAGTGGAATACTATGCAATGTTGAAGAGTAACGATGAATCTGCAAAATATCTCATAACATGGATGAACCTGGAGGATATTTTGCTGAGTGAAATTAGTTACAAAAGGACAAATATTGTAAAAGACCATTATTGTAAAAACTTAAGAAAAGGTTTTCATATTTAAAAGACATTCTTTGATGATTACCAGAGATGGAAGGTAGAGGAGAGTACTTCACTGGCTACAGGGTAGACACATGTTAGCTTGGGTGATTGTTGTTGTTTAGCGTCAAGTCGGTTCCGACCCATAGCGACCCTCAACAGGGTTTCTGAGGCTGTAAATCTTTACGGGAGCAGAAAGCCTCATCTTTCTCCCACGGAGCAGCTGGTAGTTTCAAACTTCTGACCTTGTGGTTCGCAGCCCGATTCGTAACCACTACGCTACCAGAGCTTGGTGATAGGGAGGGCAATATATAAGAAGGGGAGGGCAGCAGAAGAATGATGAAGACAAGTAAAGAAATGGAGGTATGCATGGACTAAAGGAGATGGAGGTAAATAGTGGTATATATATAACCTGGTGTGGCACTGAGGGATAATAATGTTCATGAATTTTCCTTTTCTTGACTTATTGTGAAGGAATATTAAGTTTCCTTTAGGTTACCCTGTAGTTTATTATTTCCCGTTTTTAAAAGTCTGTTTTATCTTGAAATCTACGTGACTTTATCATTTGGAATTCAATAACTATACTTTTACCTCTTTTTGCTTTGTAGTTATCTTCATTATTAATTGATATCTCTGATTCCCTGTTTTCAGTCTTGTAATTTTGTGGAAGACTGGTGTGATTCTATAGAATAAGTACAGAATTGCAAAAAGGCCTCCTAGAAAACCCTATACTGGGTCGCTATGAGTTGAAACCAACTCAGTGGCACTCAACAACAACAGTTTTGTTTTACTTTCGATACTTCTATATCTGGCTTGAATTTTGGGTGGTTTTGTGATGAATATGTCAATCTCCAGTTTTATTCTGCTGCAGCTAGTTCTCAGTCCAAAGGAGCCCCTTTAGTATTTTTTGTAAAGTTGACTTGGTTTTTACAAATTCCTTTAATGTCTGTTTATCTGGAAATGATCCAGTGTCACCTTTGTATTTCAGGGACAATTGTGCTGGGTATATGATTCTTTGTTGGCAGTTGTTTTCTTTCAGAGTTTTATATATGTCTCCCCATTGCCCTTGTGCTTACATGGTTTCGCCTGAGAAACCAGAACTTAATCCTATTGGTTTTCCTTTGTAGGTAACCTTTCCCTTTTTTTCCTGGAACTGCTTTCTGGATTCTTTCCTTGTCTATTATTTTAGAGAGCGTGATTCTATGTCTTGGTGATTTTCTTGCTGTGTCTATCCTGTTTGGGGTTTATTCACTTTTCTGATTGCTTATCTTCTCATTTTTCATGATGTTAGGGAAATTCTCTGCCAGCATCTCTTTGAATATCTTTTCTTTGCTTCTCTTCATCCCTTCTTTGTTCTGAAATGCTGCTCATCCTTAGGTTATTTCTTTTCATGTTGGCCCACATGAATCTTTGACTTTCTTCAGATTTTCCATTCTTTTTTTTTTTTTTTTAATTGTAGCTCACTAGTATTGATAGATTTATCTTCCAGGTCAGTAATTCTGGCTTCCATTGATTCAAATCTACTATGCTCTTTCAGTGTATTGTCCATTTCTAATATCTTAGTATTAATCTTCTGGATTTCTGTTTTCAGGTTTTGTATTGGCTTCAATCCTTTTTAGTTGTTTTGTTTGATTGTTTCTGTAGTGCTTTTCTGAATTCTTCTTTGTTTTCCTTGACCTTCCTTCTGTGAATCATTTGGTGAGGTACCCAAGTATCGTTTCCCTGAATTATTTTTCAGGTAGTTC